ATTCTTCCTTTTGCCTGCAAATTATTCTTTGTTATGTCCTCCTTCAGCCTCCTGTACATCATCCACATTGGGCTCCAGTCCACAATTATTTGCACCACCTCTTTCTCTCCTCCCATAGTGCTAGCTGCTTCTCTCTTCTTCCTAGCCACCTTATCTTCTCTATCTGACTGTTTCTCCTCTGAATTCTCCAGTGTAGCAAACTTGTTCCTAAATTCTAATTCTTTCACTAGCTGGTTTTATAGCACCCACACAGCTTCCTTTTCCTCCCTTTCCATCATGGTTTCAAATTCCTATCTGCACTTCCCACATTATACTTCTAGTCCTTCGATCTTCTCCTTCCACAAGCTCTATCACACAATACTTCCTATGCAACTAGCTTCCCCTTATGTATCCATTCAAGGATAATATACACCCCACTGCTTCTACTTCCCTTCAGTCTTTGAATCACCTTCCCTGATTTCTCAGTAGCCATGACCATCTGCTCTGATTAGTCCCCATGTGAAAAAAAGAAGACATCACTCCCAAACTTCCATTAATTTAGTCCCATGTTTATTTCTCAGTCTGAGATCTTACAACTTCCAATGCACTTCATACATATTCTCTAAAACACTCGCATGACATTTCTGTCCATAACTGTGTGGAATACTGCATAAAACCTTCCTTTAAAGCCATCAGCACCCTTGGTGACTAAGAAGCATGGAGAGGGGAAAGACCTCAGCTTCCCAAAAACAACAACAAGAACACACATTGAGGAAGTAATTTTAAGACTTCTGTACTTCCTGGTCCCCTGTGCAATGAGGCACCAGAGCAAAACAAAGACTGAACTAGCCCATGATCCCATTTCTTCTTCTAGCTATTCTGTTCAGATTGCCTCAAATACAGAAGTTAAATGCACATAATGAAAACCATTGCAATTATATGCATTGTATAGAAAAAAGAGGCAATTAAAAAAACAATAATGCAAAATTCTGCTAATACATTCTCAGTTAATTGGAGGCCTGGGAGAGGTCTCACTAAGTATTCACAAAATATCCCAGGAATTTCATAATGCAACCAAGATTCTAAAGGAAAGCATAAAATCTGACAATATAGTATTGTCTATAACAACACAGTTGGGTGTCCTGCACAATAATTAGAATCAAAGCATTCTTCCTCCAAGACTAGGACAAAATTGTGCAACTAAGTCAGACCATCAGGAAACAGCCAAAATTAAAGAAAGATATTTATACAAAAGTGAAAAGAAAGTTCTTGATGTTATAATCTTCATCAGCAGATACATCTGGTTCTTTTTCAAAAGCCTAACATCTTATTCTGAAAAAGTGACCACAAAAATAAAGGCAGTGCACTTGGTTCAATCCAAAAAATTTGCTGATCTGCCGGACAGACCACTTCCACCTGGTCACTGATTCTGGGGAGAGAGGACAAGAAGGAAGGAATCCACACTTAACAGATCCATCCTTCTGTATCCCAGGGTCAGGAAGAAGTATCCAGGCAGTGGCAGAACCTAACCACAGATAGAAAGCTCCATCATATAGCTATGGCATTAGGCTAAGACTGGTTCTGGGCTCAGCCCCAGTGTACCCATGTCTATTTCTACCTGACTTTCAGTGTGGTGGTGGGTAAGTTGCTTAATTTACCTTGTGCCTCGGTTCCCCATTTTTATGACAGGTTATTTCTATAGTATTGTATAGGACAATGAGGCTTTCTGATACAGCTACTGATGAACATTCTGTAAATATCACCAGGAAGAGCAACAGCTTGAGAGACCTTAAAGCACTGATTCTCAACCAGGGTGCCACAGCATCCTGAGGTGCTGCAACATCATTCTAAGAGTGCTGTTGGGTGCCATACAATATAAGTTGTGTAAATACTTCGATGAGTCACAAGATAAACTTGGAGATTTTGCATAGGACTCCATAGTATCAAAACATTCTGACCTGTCGTGGTCTTTCTGAGTTCTTTATAACAGAAGACTTACTCTATTATTTTTCTATAGTCAAGAAACAAGTAAAAGCTAAGAGCTGGCATTTTCCATGGCGTGCCTTGTGTCTAATCAGAGGTACTTTGAGTCAAAATTTTAAGAATCACTGGTTTAAGGACAGCAGATGTCTTCTTGTCAGGGATATAATTTATTTTATTATATCAAGCATATCAAGCATGGATCTCCTTTCATATCTAGGAGAGCTCTTAATAGATTCAGTGCCCCAACAATAATGCTATTACCATCCATACCCTCATTTAAATCAAGTGGTCTTAGATTTCTGAATCTATGTGGCTCATTAAAACTTCTCTTCCTACAACTGAGTAAACATCATTCAAATGGACTTCCTTTTAGTTCACTGCCTTTGAGCAGAACAATGACAAATTCCTGGTGTTAATAACGTAACATTGTTAATTTGCACAATTTTATCTTCAACTCCTAGTCAGGCAAATTATTCCACAGCAGAGATTTTTTTTTTTTAGTTAAAAAAACAAAACCTAGTACAGAGGCCACCAGCTTGGTGTCTACTCTGTTTTTAGTGTTTTAAATACCCTGTAAATCTGCCATTAATAAGATACCTGGAAGCAAGTTATTCTTCCAGCTTGGATGACTGACCTACAGCTTGTAATGAATATAAAGAAGCCAAAGGAACAAATTGCCTTCTTGCATGCAATCTGGCTTCCTAAAATCTTCCAGGAGCAGATGAACTGTCATTTACCTTGTTTAACCTTTTCCCTGACCTCTGATCATGCGCGTGGCTCTTCTCTGGAGAAGCTTGAAAGAGTCCAGAGAAGAGCCGCGTGCATGATCAGAGGTCAGGGAAGCAGACCCTACGATGACAGGCTGAGAGCCCTGGGGCTCTTTAGCCTGAAAAAGCGCAGGCTCAGGGGTGATCTGATGGCCACCTATAAGTTTATCAGGGGTGACCACCAGTATCTGGGGGAACGTTTGTTCACCAGAGCGCCCCAAGGGATGACGACTAGGTCGAATGGTCATAAACTACTACAAGACCGTTTCAGGCTGGACATAAGGAAGAATTTCTTTACTGTCCGAGCCCCCAAGGTCTGGAACAGCCTGCCACCAGAGGTGGTTCAAGCCCCTACATTGAACACCTTCAAGAGCAAACTGGATGCTCATCTTGCTGGGATCCTATGAACCCAGCTGACTTCCTGCCCTTTGGGCAGGGGGCTGGACTCGATGATCTTCCAAGGTCCCTTCCAGCCCTAATGTCTATGAAATCTATGAAATGTTTCCCTATTTTAATTTTATATCTATATGATCACCTAGTACATTTCTATAACACTTCATAGCCCAAATTATCAAATACAGCTGAGGAACATACTCTCCCAACACAGAAAAAGGGAGGACCCAAGGATGACCTGTTGAGTTCAGTTACATGCCTGTGCAGTGGTGGGCCTCTCCAAATGTCAAAAGTCTGTATTTTTAATCAGACATTCCTGGCAGTTTTGTCACATGCCTGGAAGCTGATGAAGCAGTTAAGGTGTTAGACACCTTCCATGTTTTAACTAGATATTTTTAATCTGAAGTGACAAGTTAGATGGCTGGTGCGCTCTGCAGTGGGAAATAATATGTGAGGATTCAGAGGTTTCCTACAGTGATATGAATTGTGCAGTAAGCCTCTTCAAATGCAAATTTCACATTTTCTTTCATAAGAGGCAATGTTAATGGTATATTCACTGTCTTGTGAACAGGCCTGAAAGGTCAAAGTAAAAGACTGGCCATTAATTACTGAAAGGTTAATGCAATAATTTGACACTGCATCAGTCGAAAGCCACTTCCAGGAGGTATTTTAGATAACACAATGCCCTTCATAAATCTAGTGCACTGTTGTGTTTGGCTCTGAAATATGAAACTTACTCACTAACAATATAACTATAATTTATCCTGATACTGATGGCAGGTGGAGTATGTGCCAAAGACATTTTAAAAAAGACCCTCACAAAAGCCTCGGAGGAAGCATGTCAAAACAAGAATCTAAAATGATTGAAGATATATGGGAGAAGAACAGTAGTAAGAAAAACAACAATGTATTACACCCCTCTCTGGACTTAGGTGCCTAATTAAGAATTGATTAAAAATCAGAGGTTCAAATCAGAGGAGAGGTTGAAGCAAGTTCATCTTGCAGAAAAGGCGCTTATAAGGGGACATGATAGCAGTCTTCAAATACTTGAAGGGCTGCCATAAAAAGAACACCTTTTCTCTCTTGCTGAAGACCAATGACTTGTAGTTGTAGCCAAGTAAGTTTAGATTGAATATCAGGAAAAACTTTTTCAGTGGTAGAACAGTGAGACAGTAGAATAAACTGCCTAGGGAAGTTGCAGACTCTCCTCCACTGGAGGTGTTCAAGCAGAGGTTGAATAGCTACTGGTCAGGGATGATCTAGGTGTAGCTATGCCTGTGTTCTACTGTGGAATTTCCCATGCTTCTGGGTTTTCCTAGATGCCCCGTCCCCACCTATCTGTTATATGTGTAAAGGTGTTTTTAAGCCTCTCTCAGAGTCATGAGACGTTGGCTTCAGTCAAGGTTTAGGATTTTGACTGGGGTGGGCCAATGCTCCTGTTGAGACTTAAAGCCAGAGGTTCCTGGCTAGAGGTTCTTTCCCCTCTGCTCAGGATCAAACCAATTGCCTATTTGGGGTCAGGAAGGAATGTTACCCTATGGTAAGACTGGTATGGACTATGGGGGTTTTTGCCTTCCTCTGTAGCTGGGGGCGTGGCCCTCTACCTGGGTTCCTTTGAGCATATATTAACAATTTTTCTATAAGCAGGATGTTGGCTGCTTTGGCCCCCCTTCTTTACCTATGACAGATTAGGATTTTATGTTTTATGTTGTGTCAGGCTTGATGGTAGTTTTCAAAAGAGTTTAGATTATGGATTTGATTAGGTTGGTTTAGTTAGGGATTATTCTGCCTCAGCAGGGCTTCGGACTAGATGACCTCTGGAGGTCCCTTCCTGCCCTGCTTCTTTACAGAAGAAAAATTAAAAAGCTAAAATAAATTTGTGGGATAAAAAGGGACCATAAAAACCTTAAATAAACATGCTTGATAGTCAAAACAAAATGGTACAGGTTACAGCTGACTTTGCAAGCGCACATTGATTTTGAAAAACAAAGCATGAGATAATAGTATCCACATCCCTTTTTAACTTAGCTGCCTATCAAAGTGGTAGACAAGGGGGTGATTTTGGATAAACTGTTCCAACTCTACCTCATTTGCAAGAAATAATAATATCTATTTCTATTCTTCTAAGTCAGGACTTCTGTCTCTCCAGCCTTGACTTAGAATTCATAATAACCAATTTTATTAGCATTAACGACTTTGAGGACATATCAGTGTGAGAAAACATAAAATAAAGGCCATCCATAAAGACCTGAAAGACTTCTGAGACTTTTGTTCCTGTCCACATTGTTGGACCCTTGCTCTCAAGTCTCTGAAGAGTTAGTCCTGATGGCCTTTTTCAAGTTGTCCTAAAGACAAGACTTCTTTGGAGACTTGCTAGTCTCCCAGCACCCTGGCAGATCCAGGCCTTACAATGCTATCACTAGAAATATGTCCAGCATGTTTCAAAAAGCTCCACTAAATTCAATAGAGTTCAAACCTCCAGGACTTGCCTCTTAGGGATAACTCTGTACCAGTTAATCAGGAAAAGTAAGGCAGTGAGTTATAAAGCAAGGCAATATGAACTACTGGTTAAACTAGAAGTGTGGGAAGTTAAGAGACCTAGGCGCTAAACCTAAGTCAACTGGTTAAGTCAATGGTAGAGGTGGCAGAAGACTCCTTCACCCTGCTGAGGAAATAAAATTAACCACCCACTTCCACTCTGCTTGCATCAATCCCAGAAATGAAGTGGTGAGTCTGCCTGCTTTGAGGGGTTCAATTCCTGGGTTTCCTGCATGTCCAAGTGCAGTAGCTTAGAGAGCTTCCAGGTCATCTTCACTGCCTCATTTCAGGGCTCATGTACACTGAACAGGAGCAGTTGTTTGGGGCCTATTTCCATGGAGGCATTACTGAACACTGCTGTCATAGTGTTTTGACATAACCATTGTGTAATCTTAAGCAAGATACATGAACCCCTCTATTTCTCCATTAAAAGGGGAACTTGTAAATGGATTCAGGAGCACCTTATTAGTGGAAAGTGTTATTTATTGTGCAGTTGTGATAGTTACCCCAGACATTCAAAACTTTACTTTGTAAAGCTATGAAATTGATGCATAAGAATAAAAATAGCAAAGTACATTATTTCTCATTTCGTTTGAACAAAATCCAATGGACTTAAGTCAATTTTGAAACTGATTTTTAGTAAAACCAGAAAGTATACAAAGGAACATTTAGGCTGACTACCAGGACAAGTCTTAAAAGTAAGCTCAGTTATATTCTGAAATACTTTCAAAAGGGAAGTGATAGAAACCCTGTCATTTGAGTTATTTACGACTGATATATGCAAATTAAAGAAAGATAGCTGTATGCAAGAAACTTGGACAGAAGACCTTGAATACATTCCCTATTTCTAACTACAAATATTCAGTTATATTATTGTTTCTTATTTGTTAAGCACTAAGGATCTTGGAATCTGAGTTCATGGTAAATATAGAAGTGCACCTTACCTTAGCCAAAGGCTTAGAGCTTGTCCAATTTGGTTTGACACCTTGAAATTCAGGGTGTATTTTCACTCCAAATGTCCAACCTCCACATCTAGTAATATAAAACAATGCAATAGTAAATTATCTGTCAGCTGCTTGCCTTTGTTAGCATTGTGAGAAATGATTTTTTGCAACACAGAAGGAAAAATCTATGATTATTCTTTACATGTCAAGTTGGAAGTGTAGCTCATCCTCACATAATCAGCATATTACTACTTGAAATGGAACCTAATTTATAACTTATAATCAAGTCATTATTATGCACTTTAAAACAAAGGAAGTTCCTTTAAACTCCACAGATAAAACCTATATTTTCAGAAAGCATAATCATGCTGCTAAAATGGTATGGATTTTTACAAAATGTGCTTAACCATGCAATTATTTCCAAGGCCAACATGTATTTTAATGAATCATTCATCCTAAAAATGTACCTTGAACTTTTAAATTGAAGTTAAAACCAAATTCCATTTCAAAGATCGGGGGGGGGGGGGGTTGGTGCATACACACGCAACACACACTTCCTTCTATTCAGTAAAATTACACTTGCTCAAATTTTTCCAGTTATGTCACTGGGTTTTTGGTCATAGCTGTGTTGGTCTAAGGACATAGGCAGGCAAGGTACTTTGAGCAGATGTGATATCTTTTATGAAACCAACTGAGTAGTTGGAAAAAGTTCTTAGCAAGCTTACAGATGCAGTCACCCTTCTCCAGGCATCACAGGGAGTCTCTGCTGACCAGAGACTCCCTATGTCTGAAGAAGGGTGACTGCACCTAAGCTACCTAAGAACTTTTTTCCAACTACTCAGTTGGTCTCATAAAAGAGAGCACATCTACTCAAAGTACCTTGCCTGCAGTTATGTCACTCACTCACTTCAGAGGTCCAAAGGGATCAGAGAAGGACTGAATTAAAATAGGCATCATGGACTCACTCTTCATACCCATGTTCCTGGTGTCGTGCAGTTACATCAGGACCTATGTTTTTTTTCCCTGTGAAAAAGGTGCCTAGCCCTCATGGTTGCAAAGAAAATTTGCAATGTGACCCGAGTATAAGCAACGTACCAATATTTGCCCGACTCTGCAAACAGCCTGAAACAGTAGCTCTAAGAAACCTTAATTGCCCCATTAATCTCTATGGCAGATAAACTACTCAACTCACTGAACTGAGATACACTAGCATTTCTAGCACTGGCCGTTTTCAAGAGCCTAGGCATTGCTGCAAAAGTCTTGCTAAGCTAGAAAGACCCAAATCCTCATTAACTGACTGCTGTGTATTTTCCAAGTGTTACAAATGTATTCAGCAGAGTGTTTGCAGGAATCAGCATATTCAGCTAAGTAAACACCAAAATCCACCATTTAGGTTAAAAAAGGTATAATGGGAAAGTTTGTTAGAATGCCTTATTCTAAGATTAATACAATTAATAAACTATTGTTAAACAAATAAAATTGTATAGCGATAATAATTAGTGATTTCTGTGACCCTGTGCATTTATGTATTGGTACAATGCAACTGTATGCTTACACTGTTTTCTTAACCAAACACAAACTTTAGAGATAATATAAAGTGGGGGTAGCTTCATTAATGTGACCAAGAAGAACAGAAAAGAAAGCAGGAAAGGGAAAAGGCACAATGAGCAATTTTTGCCCAGCCTGTGGCAGGTAGCCCAGGCTGCGGTGTGTGCCTGGGCACGCAGCAGAGCTGGGGCAGTGTGACTGTCAGACGCCATTTCCCAGCAGCACCAGTGGCAGCAGAGGCTCCTTCCAGCTGCACTGCCATCGACCCAGCCCTGCTGTCTGGGCATCCTGGCCTGTCCACCTAGCACCTGCTGCCAGGGGCAGGACCCATACAGGCTGGGTGCTCAGCTAGACTCCTGGGATGGGGCCACGAGCCAGCGAGGGGTGGTGTTTGGGTGCAAGATGGGCAAGTGTAGCCAGAGAAACCCCAGGATCTCAGGGCAGAGACAGTGTGGTGCTGGGGTCAGAACAAAGTCACAATTCACTCAGCCCATGTCCCTGCTTGCAAAACCGGGGCTCTGCCTTCCTCAGCCAGGAGCCACGCAGGCAAAGCACACATCCCTGTGGCCGTGAAGCAGCATCTGGAGCCAGGGCCAAGCCCAGGATTTTAAAGCAGTGACAATGCAAGGCCTGGGCCAGAACAGAGCCACGATCTGCTCTCTGAATGCCCCTTCCCATGGGACCCAAACCCATCACAGGGGTGTGCAGGCAGCAAATCGTGAGTCTGGCCTGGGCTCCGGCTCCGTGCTGTCACTGCCTGTAACTCCATCTTGTGATCCCAGCCTCACCTGTCCCTCCTGCTCCTGCACACTGCTCCCAACCCTCCCACAGCTCCATTCCACATAGGGAGTTTTGGTGAGTTATTGTGCGGTGGGGTGGGGTTGCTGACCTAGCCTGCGACACCTCAACAAAACTCTCTATGTGGCCCGTAGGCCCAAATAACTGCCTGACCCTGATGTCAGGGATAAGAAATTCTCCCTTGGATTTCATAATGACATCAGCTTATCTTATAGAACTACTGAAAACTTAATTCAATCTAGGACCAGTGTCTGAATAAAACCAATGAGGACCTCAGATTGGCTTAATCTACTCCGATAGATAATGGAGACCCTCTTTGTGATCCTAAATAAGAGAGGTTCATAATTTTGGAATGGGAAGTCCTATGTTGCACTTGTACTATTTCGGTACCAATCCTGATTTCTGCTTGTATATGGCCAAGTTTTCATTCACTGCTCTTGAGTTGTTATACCATGGGCGGGCAATTATTTTGGGCAGAGGACCGCTTACTGAGTTTTGGCAAGCCATCGAGGGCTGAATGACAGGCAGCCCAGGGCAGATAAATATTAATTTTCTAAATTTTCTAAATTTTTAAGGCTGGATAGAATGGTCTGGAGGGCCGAATCCAGCCCCCAGGCCGCATTTTGCCCACCCGTGTTATACTCTACTCATGTCTGTAGCACACAAGAGAAAAACTCTATTCCATTGTTCTAGCACAACTTTCTAGACAGCTGATTAAAAAAAGGGGAAATCCAGGGGAATATTAAAGAATACCTTGCTTTGTTAGAAGGTCTGATTAAGTATTCTTCCACATTGAACCCTGAGAGGTTGTACAGGAGATGTCCTTGCATATTCTTCAAGTAGGGAACTGAGATATTAATAATTGGGCACTTCTAAAAATAAAAATAGCACACAAATTACTAAGGTTCCTTTAAAAACCTCAACCACTATATGTTCAGCCTCAAACTTCACTGTACTGCATTTTAGTTGTAATTGTATTTTGCAGCTTTTATAACTTTTTGATAAATTATGTATGATTTTATGTTTATATGGCATTTAAAATAATTATGTCACCTACATATCAGAATTCCCTTTGATATATGGTACAATATTTTCAGTCACCTTTGTTTTAGAAACATGAAAAACTTTACGAATGCAAGCTTGGAAGGTCTGCAGCCATGAAAAGCACACTGAGACTTTTATAGTCACTTACATTCATCTGTTGAACATGAAAATAAATACACAAAAATGCACTGGATGGATTATGAAAGAGAGGCAGAATTCAAAGTAATCCAAAGTATTCTTAACATTGTCCAATGGACTGAAAATGGGAACATACGAAGATGATTCGTAGGAATTCAGTCACTTCCAAAAGTAAGCAGATTACAACATCAAGTGATGAGACATTTTGTATGGCGGAAATGAGCAGTGAGAAGTGTTAGATGTACCTGAAACCTAGATAAGCTAAAATTTGCTGTTTCAGAGATTCTTCTTCCCCTGCATAGATACAGACTGCCTTCACTGTCCACCTGTGAGTGGCTTCTCCTTTCTTCCACCTTCCTGCCCTTCTCTCAGAATCAATGTTCTATCCAGAGTTCTCAACCCATCCTCCTCCTCATCCTTGGGTAGGATGCTCCGCACCCCATTTCAGCAGTTTGTTTCAGCAGTCCCTTCTGTGGCTCATCTCCCTCAGCATAGCCCAACCATTTTCTCTTGGAGCTAAGGAACAAGGGGATGTTTAGGAAATCCATACCTGTAACAGGGAACCCTGGCCCTGTTACCAGAAGACAGGTTGGCCCCTTTAAAATGAAAACTTTCTGGGCACAGCAAGCTGGTAAGGTGGGGGTTAAAAGCTGAGCCTGGCCAGTTAGTCAGGTGACCGGAAGGGGGCAAGCCAGGACTATAAAAACCCTGGGCTGGGTGGTAGTAGGGGCTAGCAGCCAAAGGGGAAGGAGTGCATCTCAGAGCTCCATGGAGAGACTTGGAGAGTGGTCCAGTAGCTGCAGGAGGGGAACTACTGAGGACTCCTGGAGAAGCGGCAGCAACCCCAGAAGAAGGACTGTAGCAGACGGTGGGGGAGCAGAAGCATGAACCCTGAGAAATGGTAAGCTGGCATGCTGGCTTCTTTAAATCTATTTTGGTGGTGGTTATAGCCCATGGACAGACCGTGTATAAGTTCTGATCAATTTACAACCAGTGGTTTGGGTCAGGCTATTGGGGAAGGAGGAGGCCTCATTGGAGCCCCACTATAGTGTGGGGACTCCAGAACCAGTGTGGGCGCAGTATTCAGGGTGCACAGGCCCAGCGACAGAGGGCACAGTATTTGGGGGCACAGGCCCAGCACCAGAGAGGGCAATCCTAAAAGGCCAGGGGGGCCTGGTGCACCCGAGGTGCGACTGTGTTTCTTTTTTTGGACTGGGACGGTGGAGTTTCGGGGCCACTGCCTGGCTTCAAACTTGAAACCACATTGCTGTGGGGCTGGTGGACAGGTCTCTGGGCCAGGGAGGCTAGGCTCCAGATTGGAGCAAAAAGGAGGGCCATGAGCCCCAAGACTAAAGAGCTAGAGCCTCAGAGTCAAACCCTTTCTGGTGGGTTCAGACTGGGAGGCCTAGCTAGAGAAAAACTGGGGTCAAGGCCAGGAGTGGCAGAAGACCCCAACATACAAAAACAATAGGCAGTCTCCTGCCTATATTTCCATCAAGACGTGGCAGGCGAGTAGAGAGCGGGACATGAGAAGCCTTAAGGGGACTCCATGGGTGCCCCACATAGGGCGTGGATAACACAAAAGAAGGAGCTGGGGAGGTCCACCTGTTACAATACCCAACCCTGAGCACTGCCTAGCTGTGCAGAAGCATATCCTCCAGCTATGACTGCTACAGCTTCAGGAAAGCTCCCTTGGCCACCTCCATAAGTGCTGATCTGTACATTTTCTGTTGTGCCTCCCAGATACGGTCTCCACTGTATGACCTTGCTATCTGGATCTTTGCTCTCATCAGCCATCATGTTTAACACTGCAGCCCATTACTCCATACTCTCACTAACCCCTCTGCCTTGCAGTTTCTCTGGCCTCTGGCTGCCCAGTAAAAGCAGTGTAACACCAGTCCTGGATCTCCTCAGGCCTTGCTAGCCTGAAGCCAAGTGACTTGGGTCCCTAGCCGCCTCCTTACCTATCACTACAGTGGCCAGAACTGTAACCAGTGTCCAACCAGTAAAATGAATGCATATTCAGTGCTACATCTAAGTAAGTAATAGAGAAAGGGGACCCCAGTATAAGCAGTGAATACTGAATGTTGCGAAGACAGTTTTGAACCCTAACCCATTAAAACTACTAAGTCTTGGTTTGTCAGTGTTCATACAGTAACATTTTAAACAGAAGTGTATTTGAAAGGCCTGAAACCTCTTTTTGGGAAAATACATTCTGTCAAAATTTTAAAGATATTTGTTTCGTACAGGCCCCCTCTACACATTACAGGTATTGAACAATTAACTGGTTAACTGTGCAATTACTTGAGACCAGCTACATGTGCAAAGTAGCTGTCACACAATAAAAAGCTCCAATCAGATATAAAGTTAGATTTCTGAAAGGAGTATTAACTTTATAGCCGGTTGCTATCAACCTTTAATTTGAATGTGTATCAGGGTTTTCCTTGAAGCAGGGAGCCCCGGAATCTAACAAGGCTCCCAGGCACACGGGTATACCTTGCCCAGCCAGGGCTGCAAGTCCTGCAACTGCTAGGGACTCTCAGCCCCAGCAGCTGTGGACTCTGGATCCCAGCTGCATCCAGCAGCTGTCGGGACCACCAGTCCTGTAGCTGTAGATGTTGGGTCCCTATAGCATGCCTTCCCCAAGCAAGAGGATTGCTGCTGAGGTAATCCTCCAGCCACAGGGGTTTCCCACACCCCCAGACAGAGGGATCATCTGAACCTCCAGCCACAGGAAATTCACATAGCCCCAGGGAAAGGGGATGGTCCCTGCAGCAATCTTCTAGCTGTTGGGGTTTCCCACATCCCTGGGGTACAGTGATTACCCTGTCGGAATCCTCTGGCCCTGGGTGGTTTCATGTACCCCTGGGGTGGAGAGATTGCCCCAGTGGTGATCCTCAGGCCCAGGTGTTTCACAAGCCTGGTAGGAGGCATAATGTGTGAATCACATATTAGATCCCATCGTGCCTTTACCTGCACATAGAGGGGGCCGCAGCATACCTTTTACAGTGAGCCATTCCTGGAAGATGTAGTTGTTTCACAAGCTCAACATAGCAGACTGCCAAACGGCTAAGTGCAGTCTAAAAATTGTTTTATAACTCGTTTCCCTGCAAACTCCAGAACATGGAGGCAAAGCAGTACAAGAGACAGAATGAAATCTCCAGTCATAATGAGGCCAATCCACTGAGTTCCTATTTTGTTTTTTGCTTATTTTATAGGAAAGGAAAAAATATACCTGTTGATCTGCCACACACCCACAAGAATCCAAAATTTTTTGTGGTGAACTAGGCTCAGTCTGCCAACACACATCATTTTTTCTAAGGGAGCAAACATAACAAGAGAAAAAAAATCATTAAAAAAAAAAAAATACAAAAAAAAAAACCCCACCAAAAAACCCCAAATTTTATTTAACAGCACATGTCTACAGTATAGCAAACTATGACTGTATATTGACAACCTTCACATTCTATTCTATAACAGTATCTTCTTTGTAGTAAATTGCGAGCGACTGTCAAAATGGCTTCCAATTTATCACTAAAAATACCTATCCACGCAAATCAACCAATTAGTTGCTGACCTGGTGTTTATATTCACAAGGCAAATAAACATGTACCACAACCACAAATAATCTAAATTTGAAAATCCAGGCTTCTATATAATGAATACTGATTCAACAAAAATAGCCTTGCAATTGCTGACAGTGCCACCACTGATTTCATTCAAACTGACTAAAGGACTAATCAAAATTCCTCCAGAATTAATAGAAAGTCTATCACTTACATGGCTTGAGATTTCCTCTAAAAGGAAGCTCTATGATATATTTCAGCTATAAACAAGCCCAATCAATAGAGCATTTTTTAAAACTCATGCTATAATGGTCAAGCAAAGCATAAGAAAATAAAACACAGAAATAGAAATTATTTACAAAATCTCACATTACCTCTTATTTACTTTTGGAGGCATAGATAGTCTTTTAAACTTCTATTTTGTAATGAAAGTGAAGATTGTTCCTCTTCAAGCAAATAATAGTGAACAGTGGTTTGTTTAATGACTTATTATTATTATTATTATTATATTAAAAACCTTACAAAGCATGACATTTAAATAGTGCATGTGTTTTTTTGGAATTACTATGGCAATAGCTGTAATCATTAAATCAATCATGTAGTGCATTAATAAAGATGTATTGTTTCACTTACATATCTTGTCTTGAGTAAACACATGGATGTTGCCAGTCTGTAAAATATCTCAATAGGACATGAGAGAGATTTTGTAGGTCATCACTGTCAGTGCTGCTCAGAGACAAGGGAGTAATCAGTAAGGTCATCATTACAAAGAAAACCTGTGTTTGCATTCAGACCCTTACCGAGCTCGAAATCAAGGCAGCATAAATGAGCAACATGCCCTAATACTATATTCACAGCAAAAAGGCTTTACCAGGACAGAGAATAGATAACAACCCATTTTATCAATTAAAATAGTAGGACACCAGTTTTAACAATTAAATATTAAAATATTTAAATATGTATGAATTTCTAAGGTCACTATGTGAACATTATCTGTGCCTCAAAGCCAATTCTTTCTTCTAGATACTGGCATGAATCCCCACAAGCTGCCACACAAGAGGAAGGTATACTCCTCGTATTTCATTTATAAATTCAAAGGCATGGGCTCTCTCTTTATGATGATAGAATCTGCATCTACTGTTTTGATCCATATCAGGCAAAGGAATATCTCTGCCCAGAATACTAACAGATTATGCATAACACAGCATTTGTATTTGGTAGACTGGGACCACAGAACCTGCAAATAAAGCCAATCTACAGACATTGTAAACTGCAAAAGAAATACCTATACACATGCACACACTGAGGTTAAAAGCAGCAAGGACTACAAGTTTTCAAAGTGCTGGGCCATATTTGCAAACCTTGGCATTTTTGTGATTTATGCCTCCAGGCCTAATAAGGTAAGTAGAAGTAAACTAAAGGGATAGATCCATCTGGACATGCAAGCATTTATTTAATATATAAACTCACATGCACTTAAACAAACTCTTATGAACACACTAGAAAAACTGCTCAGACCAGACTGCTCCAAAATTTTTGCCTCCACTCCAGCTTATGATTTGTGCTATAATACATGATGATAACATGTATTCTGTTACTTATATACACTATGCTCTTCAAATTCTCCAGAGCCATAAAATGAATGCTGGCAATAAATGTTCATGTCTGGTGGGGTGGGAAGTCCTGAAGATTTTTTTTTTTTTATTAATAAATTCTGGTTGCTGTGTAATAGTAGATTATGCTGCTTTTAAAATGTTTATTTAAAAAAATGACGGCTCTTTAAAGAACAATAACCCTGTCCATACGTTTTTATGATAAATGAGCTTGTTACCTAAAGAAGGATTCTGCATTGTCATGAAGTCCGGGGGTCAACTTGAGCGAAGGATAATCAATAGCCAATGGCTTCACAGTAAACAAGGCCATTGCCATGGTAACAAAGAGGACAGGCAGTAAAACATTTGACAGAGTTCCTCTCCAGTTTCGTCTGGTGTGATGAAACCTCTTCAACAGAAGGGCAGCAATCTGTGTGAGAGCGAGGCTGGCTCCATGCACAGTCTGAGCATCCATGAGAGAGCTATCTGCCATGAGACAAACACATCTCTTCACAAATGAGAACCCTTTTTCTGGGAAACAACAGGATCTTTGTACCTTGCTATATTCTCAGAGAACAAAAAGACCCCTTTTACAGAAAAGGGGGAAAAGAAATCCATGCCCCAGAAGACCAATTCACCTTCCAAGGGGAACAGTTAGTCCCTAACAACATGAAGAATAAAATAATGTTTAGAATAGCAATTTATAATAATAAGTAAATGTTAATAATAACGTAATAACACCAATCATGCCATCTTTACTTAGGCCAAAATTGCTACTTAAGTAAATGGTTAAAGTTAATGTGAGCTTTAACTGAATAAAGGACCATGGTAAAGTCAGATGAAACTGGAATGGTAAAAATCATTACCTCACTAGCACCTGCACACCACCTTTGGTATATAATACTTTCCTTTTTTAAAGAACTGTAAAATATTGCGTCTTAAACCATGATACATATATAGCTGCTGGCTTGAGCAGTTTAGCGTGGAATCACACTGCCCCAAGAAAAAAAAACAAGCCATCTCAGGAAAACATAAACCGACACTTATGGCTCAAAGGGAACACTGGAAGTAGCATCATTCCAGCATCATAGAAGTAGAAAGGTCCACCCAGATCTTTGGGTCTGGTGCACAGTAGGCTCCACCTATGCCCAATGGAGAAGTGAATACAATTCTGTCAGACCCTTGCTCAAGTCATGAAAAAAGACAACTGCTTTTATAACTAGAGTTGATGAAATAGGGCACCGGCCCCAGGTACTAACTGCGAAGACCACCCACCCCCCTGCCCCAGCCACCACCCAGGGCACAAAACTTCAGAGTCACCCATCTGAAAGAGACTTCTAGTACATGCTCATTAACTTATATGGGTTTATGGGGCCTAATCTAACTTCCACTAAAATCAGTGGCATTTTCTCAATGAATAGGAGATAGAACAGGTCTCAAGAAAAGACATTCCAGGATCACAGTGCTAAGTCCCATAAAATCAATCAATTCATGTTCCTGCCAATACAAGATTGACTCCTGTAATGCATTTGCTAATGCTTTATCCAATCCAAGTTTTAAAATCCCAGCTGATGCATCTTCCTTCATTTCCCCAAGAGAGAGTTTCCACAGTCTATTACATCTCATAGGTCAGAGATTTCCTAGAGATTCCTTTTCTTAGTTTCGTCTCATTGCTTTTAGTTATACTCCTGTGAATCACCCTAATTACTTTGTCTCCGTTCTTGACATTAACACCATTTAGATGTGTGTAAGATTATTGCTATGCCGCTCTTTAGTTGTTGCTTAGCCAAGCTGAATATACATTCAACTATTCCTTTTAGTTAAATTGTATTAGTCTCTGGGGTTGCTTTATAACAGCTGGTCTTTGCAATGTAAGAGGATTGAAAGGCCCTGCTTGCACTAAGAGTCAATACAGCCTCAGAAGACCTGCCATATCTAATGGCCCCTTAAGATATACCCCTTTTATCTTGAACCCTATATATTGAGCTTTCCATAAACATTATTTCTGCAATAGGTTTTAACCATTGTTTGAATGGGAGCTTTCAATTAGCCTCCAATTAATTGTTCCTTGCCTTTCACAGTTTCTTCTGACGCACTAGCAGTTTATTCTTTAATTTTAAAAGGCACTTCCTCATAAATAGGGCAAGGCCATATTTTATATAGAGAACCACTTTAGCTAAAATAATTACAGCTACAGGGAGGAAGAGGATATACAAATCTCAGAGGAAGAGAGTTAGTTATGATGTAGATTAGAATACAGAAGTTGAGCGGGTAAAGAGAAAAGCAAAATCAAAAGACAAAATTTACCTAAAAGTTTGCATGCTGAAGAATACAAACCAAATTCTATGCTCAGGGACCATGTACTCCCAGTGAAAGTCAAGTGAGTTGACTGGGCCATCACATGGAATTTGGCCTATGGGTTTCCTCTTTCCACTGCAATATTATCATCATATTCTACGTAAAGTCTGATGAAGATAAGTGTCTGAAAATAAGACACCCCCCACATCAAGCATCTCAAGCTGAGTATACCAAAATTGAGATGCATCAAAATCATTCATTTTGAAAGTCTTGGGCCATATACAGACATTCAGTTTCTCCTGGGAGGAAAACCCAGGAGTGTATAGGTGTTCAGTATTTTTCTACCAGTGGAAAAATAGCCATTCCAGGAGGGAAAAAAAACCCAGAACAAGAAGAGTTAAATCACTCTTGGGAGAGTTTCTCCTTAAAAAGTGCATGTCTGTACATGTTTCTTTCAGAGAGTTGCTACAGCACAGTCCTCCAATATCCCACGGGGCTTTGCTCTCCCTCTCCCCACCCCTTCTCTGAGAGACACTTGAACTAGACTCTGCTGCTCCCATTAAGCAGGGAGCAGAAAACGTTCCCATCGCAAATCTCACATTACAAATCTCACAGTGTGCTGCAGGGGCACATGGGCTAAACCTGAGAAATCTAGGTTAATTAATCAGAGCTGCACAGTGCACTGCTACCATCTGTCTCCAGGCAGACTGAGGGAACCTGCAGAATATACTGAAATGTGTGCACAGGGGCCCCTGACTGCAGCACCAGCACTGTAAGCTCTCTACTTTTCAGGAGCTCAGAATTTTGGGTAAATTCCTCTACTTGGAAAACAAACCAAAGAGAACTCTCCAAGATTATTTGAACGTGTATACACAGCCTGAATCAGTTAAAAAAAACCCAGCATGTTGCTGAATCAAAAGCACAAATAAGTAAACGGCGAAAAAAGCACAGTATGATATTTGAATCACTCACAATTCTTGATTTGTAGCATATAATGCACAAATGCTAAAAACAAGCAAAGAATGGTTTAAAACCATTGGACTTTTTGATTGATATGAGAAGCATTATGATTTCATAGAGGAAGGAGCTGACAATGAAAATAAAAGCTTCAGTTCACCAGCTCCACAGAGAAGAAAGAGGAGAAAAATGGGAGCAAATGCAGTACTGTAGCCTAGCAGAAAAAGGAAAAAGATGCAAATTGTGTCACACTGGACCACAGCAGCAGTACCTGCTATCAGATATCCTGGCAGTTTCCCCAATGGCAGCCAGCATCAGATGCTTCAGAGGAAAGTGCAAGGAATCCCACAGTAGACAGTTGGGAAAAAAACCCACTCCTGAGGGAAGATTTCTCATAATCCATGTACTTTAATGTTAACATAAATTCTTATAAATGTGTTTTAATCCCTTTTTATATTTTTACTAAACTCAGCATTGTATATTCCATTGAAGTGTGAAACCCCTCTGTCATTTGTGCTAAATTTTTGGCCTAAGCAATGTCCTGTAGCAGTGAGTTCCAAAGTTCTACTACATGCTATGTGAAAAGTACCTTAATATGCCTTTCAGTTTTGATTGCTTACCTAGTTCCTATAGAAAATGTAGACAACAGAAACTCCCAGTCTACCTTCTGTATAAACAGACCCAATCTTTTCAATCTTTCTCTGCAAAAAAGGTTTCAGGGACCTAATATTCCTGCTGTTTTCTCTGAAATCTATTCCAATTCTACAACTTTGATTCTAGAGAAGAGGTGAAGGCTACACAATTCTCTAGAGGAGGGTATGCCTTTGATTTATATAATGGCTCTATGCTTTCTTGTACTGTCCTCCCACACAATCCATCTGTATCATATCATTCTGTTTGACTGCAGCTGTATAGAAAGCAAAGGTCTACACCACTATGCCCTTTAACTGGATTACCAAGATATAAAATAATTTGGAAAAAAGAAAAACCAATGTCTGCACCCACTTGATATTCAGCCAATAATGCTTCTCCATCTGCACATTCAGCCTAATATACTTGCTTCTCCCTGGAATTTATGTGGTTATTTTTGCTTTGTAAATCTCTGAAGTAATTTCTCAGAAATCTTTGGTATGTATGTCAGGAGGTGTAAGGGAATCATGTAATTCAGGGAAACAGAATATTTTCATAGTTGCTAAAGTTCTTCATAAAGAAAAACAGAACAAGGCCAGCCAACTTCTCAGTTATAAAGTTAATTTTCATGCTAAAAGCTTATGGAAATCTTCACATGAATAATTTAGCTGATAAAATTAAAAATTGGACCCAATTGTTAGAAATTGTCTTGCTAACTTATGAGTGCAATTATAGGCAGGGTGTGCAATTATTTTCACAATTAAATTGTACTTCCCAATTCATCCAGATTCTTCCTTTACATTTAGGAGGAGATTACTAGTAAATTCTAATTCATGCCACTATTAGCAAGTACTGGGAAATGAGAAGGAAAGCAACCAATTCATTTCATGAAGGGTCCTATGGACTTCTGAATATATAACCTGTTCAAAGGTTGTAGGTTCTAGAATTATGAACAGAGCCAAATGTCCTTAAACTGGATATATAACTGCCATGTCAATATTTTTTTTTCTTGAAAAATAGTTTTTCTTGTTTGAATTACTTTTGTCCATAGTAGAAAAGAAGGCTTGCAGAGTATTATAGGATGAATGAGAGTAGAAGTCAAGAGTTCTGTTCCTGACCCTTTAGGGCTTGGGCAAATCATTTAATCTACCCATGTACCTGTTTATCCACCATAAAATGAACAAAGTATTTATGTGCCTCACAAGAGGTTTTAAGGAGTGGCCAATTTTCATGAAGTGCTTTGAATTGCAGCTAATTTAACAATGCAAAATATGTAAAAGAACCAACCATACTCTGAATCCATCTTCACAGGATGATTATGCCTTGTCCTTGGCAGGGAAATAGGGGCATAATATTGACTAACTAGTAGAGTGAGTTAAAAAACCTAAATTATCTTCTTGGAAAATTTCTCAAGAAAAATTACCTTCTGACAGAATTCCCATAAATACTATGCCACACTCTCTACTTTGAGATATTTTACTTAAAAACACAATAGGCCTTGTTTTTAATCCCATGATCTAGCATAGTGTTGTCAGGGCCTAGGATCATCATATCACTCCTAGAAGATGAGCAGTATGAAGAGGGAAAGTGGAAAAGGCAAG